GATCAATTTATAGAGTGAAGTATGCATTTCATAATTAGTGATATAGTACGTTACTAAGTATAGCTCTTGTTAAATTACTAGTACATATTGTAGCGAAGCATGTAACACGCTGTTTATATCGCAATATTGTTTCATTTAGTGGATATGACAAATCAGGAAAAAATTTTCAAATAAAATATAAAGAAAAAAAGAAAAAATACAGAATTAAAATAAAAATGGAAAATACAAAGATAAGATGGAAATGCAAAATACAAAGATAAGATAAAAATAGAAAATGCAAAGATAAGATGAAAATAGAAAATACAAAGATGAGATAAAAGTACAAAATATAATGATAAGGTAAAAATATAGAAAATACAAAATACAAAGATGAGATAAATATAGAAAATACAAAGATGAGATAAAAATAAGAAATACAAAGATAAGATAAAAATAGAAAATACAAAGATAAAAATACAAAATTATAAAAGAATAAAACTAATATTTTCGTTGATACGACACAAATTTTTATTGTATGTTCAGATGGTTTACTACATTAAAAAATATGCATCTGTGTAACGTGCTTAACTTTTGTCGACGAGTGTAGCTTTGAAGCAGATCATTAAGCGGGTTCTGGGAAATAAATAGTAGGTGTTCTACTGGAATCAGTTTATGTATTTTAAGCTCTCTGTAAATTGCTAGAGAGCCGGGTGAGGTTATATGAAAATTCTTCAAAACTGTAAATTGCGTAGTAGATGCAACAAAGTTTGTTGCAGAGCGCGAACCTAATTTACGACAGTTCCCGTAGATTTAAGTTGTTCGCGGAGGTTTCAGGTGCTTCCGAGCATCGTACAAGATACGGATTTGATTGCCGCACGGAAGGAGATGATATTATTGTGTGTGTATGTGTGTTAATATGGAAGCAACAGTTATATGGAACGCTAATGGCAGTTGGAGCTTAGTTTAATTGACGAAGTTCGGTGGGAATAGATCGTAGAAACGGTTTACGTGTTGGTGGCTCGATCAAGAATCCAATATAGATCGGATTTATAGGTGCCTGGATACCAAACGCTTATGTTCGAAAACAATCGATCGACGGAAACGAGGTAAACTTTGCTGCCGCCGTTTTCGAATTCGATTCTGCTTTGAGAATCTACAGAGCATTCGAGTCGCCAAATAATCTCTTGCGAGACTACGGTAAATTCTCCCTAATTCGTGCTCAAATTGCGCACAAAAATGAATAATTTGGGAAGTGGGAAAGAATTTTATTCGAGCCTCGCGGCTTGTTTTCATAGTTACTGATTGGCAACGACTATACAAAACGAGGCGCGAGACTCGAATAATCGTATCTCCTCTTCCCAAATTGTCCATTTTTGCACGCAACCTGAGCGCGAATTAGGGAGAATTTACTGCAATCTCTTGCGAGACTACTTTCTTTTGCACAGTATTGCAGTTCCTATATTGCTAGATGCAGCAAATTCTCTCTAATTGACGCTCAAATTGCACACAAAAATAAACAATTTTGGAAGAGGAGATACGATTTTATTCGAGCCTCGCGGCTCGTTTTCATAGTTACTGATTGGCAACGACTATACAAAACGAGGCGCGAGACTCGAATAATCGTATCTCCTCTTCCCAAATTGTCCATTTTTGCACGCAACCTGAGCGCGAATTAGGGAGAATTTACTGCAATCTCTTGCGAGACTACTTTCTTTTGCACAGTATTGCAGTTCCTATATTGCTGGATGCAGCAAATTCTCTCTAATTGACGCTCGAATTGCACACAAAAATGAACAATTTCGGAACAGGAAACACGATTTTATTCGAGCCTCGCGACTCGTTTTTATAGTTACCGACTGTCAACAACCATAAGGCACGAATAATCGTGTCTTCTCCTCGTTAAATTGTCCCATTCTCGTGCACGATCTGAGCGTCAATTAGAGAGAATTCACTGTACAAGTTCACTTTGTTCGAACGTAATCGAATTAAAAGCGTTCAATGATAGCAAAGAAAGATTTCGCTAACGAACAACAGCAGCATGAAATTCGGTTCAACAGTGAATCCGAGAAAGTTGTATGTTTTTATTTCGCAGTTCGAATAATTGAGAGCAACGAGAGCGAAGTAATTCAGAAACATTGTTTAAACTCGGATTTATGCTCCGCTTTCGTTGAAACGATTTATTGCACCGAAAGCTCGGGGTGCCGTGTTTATCTCTCGGAGAGTTTTTATAAGCCCGTGAAAAACCGGGGAAATCACCGAATGCACTCAGAAACAGGCTCCATTGATAATGCAACGGAAGAAGTCACTGTGTTTTTCTGCTTCAAGATCTCTCGTGACCCTGTTGTTTTTCTTTTCTTTTTTTTTTTTAATCAGAAGAAGGAATGCTCGTCTTCTTCAGGGACATGACTCGTAATTCTCACTCACTCACTCTCTCTCTCTCTCTCTCTCTCTCTCTCTTTGTTCTTTTTCTTCTATCTCTGATCTTCTCTCTGGCTCTCTTCTTCTCCTGCTTCATCTTCATTCTTCCCCTTTACCCGCGCCATCGTTAATTTGTCTACCGTCGCAAAACGCCTGGGAAACGAATCTGATGAGAAAAGAAAAGAAAAGAAAACAGATGTAAAAGATCGACGAAGATCCACGACGATCCAAGAGTTTCTCGTCACCTCTCGAAGGAGACGAAAGTCGAAAGCATTGACGAAGGGTGTTGAATCTCCGCCGAAAAGTCTGTGCCTAAAGGACTGCGAGAAAACTGTTCAAAATTTCGTTACCGTCCCGGCGAAACGTCTCGAAACAGTCGGCGCCGCGGGAGAAACGTGGCCGCGCGTTTGCTCGCCGAGAAAGATGAAAAAGCGGAGGAGGCGTCGCGCGGCGGCAATCTCCAGAGGGATCTCGTCGTAAAGCCTCTTTCCGAGGTGACTCTAAGAGCTCGCTCGAGTGGCCCGAGCCCTCAATGACCCGCGATTAAAAATCGACGATCCGGTGTCCGCCATTGTGGCGACTCACTCGAGGAGAGAAAACGTTTTCCCACTTTTCCGCGAGTCTCGTCGCGACGCGTCGCGACGCGCGAATGCTTTCGGTTCCCTCGAGCAGCGTCGAGGTATAAAATCTCGCGATTCGACCGATCGTTTCAACGCGGAGAATTCGTCGACCAGATCGATTCCTCGCGAAAAACCGAATCGAAAACGTGCCACGCAATTTTCGCGCGCGAGCCTCCGTGCTCGAGGAAAAAATGACTAAAGATAATCCGTTTGCAAATACGGCGGACGATAACGCCGCCATTGCAGAACAGCTTGCCCCATTTTTCGAAGCTAATTTGCTCGAGAACGGAGCTCCGTGGACGCGAAACGCGTTGCACACTTTCTGCTCAGTTTTTCACGCGGAATCGAATAATATCAGCAATCTCATTCGTTAACGAAACATTTCTAAAATTGATAACAATTAGTTTCGACGATTAGTCGCCCGACGCTGCCGCGAGCCCCGCCGCGTCTCTCAGATATCACGAAAGAGCAACTCCGGAGCATCAAAGACTAACAACGACCTCATCGAAACATTCGAGTCAATTCCAAGCAACTCCAAAGACCGAACGACCAAAGGAAAGACAAGACGGTCTCCTCGTCGGCGATCATAAGAGTCCGGAGAAGAAGCCTACAGGAAGGCCGGCTCGCGAATCGATCAGCCTGTCATTTTAAAAGTGCCGGGATGGAATTGCGCCAACTAACAATTGCAACTAGCGTAACACGCGTAACACGCGTAACAACGCCGAGCGGCCCTAACTCGTGCGCTTCCCGCGTCGGGAGAGAGAAAGCCGGCTTCGAGCTTCGCGAAAGTTACCGCCACGCACCAGAGTCACCGTGGAACCGTTGCAATTCCATTGAGCAGGAAGAGGCAGCGGCGGATCGATGTCCGGAACCAGGCCGTTCGGGCAGCCGCTGGTGTTGATGACCCAGGAGACGCCATCGGCCTCGTCGCAGAGGCTGCCGGAGCCTCATTCTCGTGCCGCCAACAGGAAACGATGACCCGTCGAGTGGAGTCGCGCGACCCGCAATTCCTTTTGCTGTGCTCGCGTACCACGAGATTCGAAGATGATCGCGATCGTCGAAAACACGACGAAATCGAGCGAACTCGGTTCCACTTTTCCTTGGGAAACGGTGGAATTGCTTGTGCGCCACGACGGAATTCCGTGTTATCCGCAACGAGAATCGTTGTCCTTTCCTACACGGAGCAGTTTAGTGATTTATTTGTTAGTCGTTGCCCTCGGGGAACGTGGAATTGCTTAGGCATCGCGGTGGAATTGCGTGATGTCCGCAGATAGAATCGTTGTTCTTTCCGACACGGATCTGTTTAATCATTTATTAGTCGTTGCGCTCGGAAAATGTTGAATTGCTCATTCACTGACATGGAATTGCGTGATATTCGCAAAGAGAATCGTTGTTGTTTCGGATTCTGACTAGTTTACTAATTGAAAATCGTTGTTGTTCGCGATACGGATTACTTTGGCAATCGTACAAGTACTCGTTGCACTCTGAAAACGTGGAATTGCTTATGTATCGCGATAGAATTGCGAGTTATCCGCGAATAAAATTGTTGTTGTTCATGATACCGGTTACTTTGGCAATCGTATAAGTACTCGTTGCGCTCGGAAAACGCGGAATTGCTAATGTATCGCGATGGAATTGTATGATAATCGCAAAGAGTGTCGCTGTTATTTCAGATTCTGACTAGTTTGGTAATTGAAGATCATTGTTGTTCGTGATACCGATTACTTTGGCAATCGAGCAAGTACTCGTTGCACTCGGAAAACGTGGAATTGTCAGTGTATCGCGATGGAATTGCATGATAATCGTAAAGAGAATCGTTGTTTTTCAAGACACTGATTAGCTTTGAAATCGACTAATTACTCATTGCGCTCGGAAAACGTGGAATTGCTCGTCTACCGGAATGGAATTGCGTGATATTCGCAAAGAGAATCATTGTTGTTTCATATTATGACCAGTTTGGTAATTAAAAATCATTGTTGTTCGTGATATCGATTACTTTGGCAATCGAGCAAGTACTCGTTGCACTCGGAAAACGTGGAATTGTCAGTGTATCGCGATGGAATTGCATGATAATCGTAAAGAGAATCGTTGTCGTTTCCAACACCGATCAGTTTAGTAATTCATTTATTACTCGTAGTGTTCGGAAAACGTAGAATTGCTATTACATAGAATTGCTATTATATGGAATTGCGGGCGTAGCACAGTCCGATGATCATGTTTCGTATTATCCGTAAAGAGGAATCGTTGTTTCCGATACAGATTTATTCGGTCATCGATCGATCGTTGCGCCGAGAAAACACGGAATTGCCTGAGGCTGGCATTGGAATTGCCGACTCACCGGAGACCGGCATCATTTTTTCGAATTCGTGACTGTTAAAATTCGGTGCAACTGCTTATCGTTGTGGGAGACATTCTCTTATCCACAGTAGGGTGCACAAGTGTCCTTCCGTGCAGCATGGAATTGCTGGACGCGCATCGAACTGGAATCGCGATCGAGTCTGAAGCAACGAATAGAGACGATGGGATCCTCCGAACGTGTTTACGTCACCCTGGACGAATAAAATCGATGGAATTTTTAAGGAACGAAAGGCGGAGTTGCCAAGATTGTTCTGCCGTGATGCCAATAATGACGTCGCCGCGAGTGTGTTTCTCTCTTTCCTCTTCGTGTAACGTCGCTTTCTGTAACGAGGAACACCGCGAAAAATCTGTGGAATTGTTCGAGTTCGATCAGCGAAGAGACACGGTTCGAACATTTTCACGCTGTCACATTTAGCGTACGCTACGAAACCGGAACACGTAGAACACGCGGAACCACCGCTGGTAGTTTATTTTCCATGTATTATTTAGTCGCTGTTAACCCCTTGCCGTACTTTAACGACTCGTCATGAAAATTTCTAGTAATATTTCTAGCAATACGATTGTGTATAGATGTTATTTTGTCCTTTAAAAATGAAATAAAATTCCAATCTCTCGTCGTCAATATTTGAGCATTCTAAATTTATTTTATTCAAGCATTCTTCCAAATTTAGGCGCACAATAAGCATCGATTTTCTTTCCCTTCTAAGAAATCGCTGCAATCGAAAAATCTCCAATCGCAGCTCGACTGCCGGGAAGATGGTACGTCAAGGGGTTAAGTACAAGAAGCTTTGAATCCGCCATGTCGAGAAAAGGTCCGGTCGCTTGTATCTTCCTTTACGGGACGACCGCGCGCAATCGTTGGAAGCTAGTTGGCCACGAAACGATTTTGGAATTGCTGAATTATAGAATACAGAACCACCGGCGATTTTCTTTTCTCGATCGATCCGCTGGCGCGATTCTTCAATTCAGCATGACCAACTTGCAAAAAACAGAAAAAACAAAAAACAAAAAAACAAGCAAGCACATACCGTACACACACACGCGCACTTACACAGACGCAAACGTACACAGACTAAACAGTTCCCGAAGTTCCTAAAGCGGTGAAATTGTTTGCAGGACTTTTAGTTATTACGTACAGGTTGTTTCAAAAAAGACTATGCCAAAAAGGTAAGGATGCCCCACTATTGTATATTATAACAGTTTCGAATAATCTGTAAATGCAACTTACGATGCATACGGGCAAGAAAAGTAACCGGCGGACCGTTTAACGTAATCTCCGCGAATGGTACACGGCGAACTTCCGGGCACGGTTTAATTCGCATTCGGATTATTTCAGCGTTCCGTAAAACACACAACAGAGATTTCAGCTCGATTTCATCGCGTAACGTAGTTCCTTTTGAAACCGCGGATTTGCGCTCGCTCTCCGAAGTGTTTTGTCGAGTTTGGGGATTGTTCGTCGATCGCGGAGAGCCTTTCGAGAACGGATCTCCGACGGAACCGTGTACATAATTCGTGTTCACGTCGATCGTACGAGAAGGCGAGCGTGGGATAACGGAGAACGCGCGTTTAGATCGAACCGAAAAGAAAAAGAAAAGCGAGAGAAGAGAAGCGCAACTCTCGCTCAGCTATCTTCCTTTTCGCGAACGATCGCTTGGCTTTGTAACTCGGACGTCGCTGCGAGATAAACGATTTATCTTACTTCTTCTTCTTGTTCCTCGAGAGAAAATAAAACGAGAAAAGGAACGCGTTTTGATTTCTGCCGGTTGCCGATAGCGGCGTGCGTAGAATTCGCCGCGGAAATATTTCGTACGATGCCTTTTGGAGAAGGCGAGACAAAATCGTGGTGTCCGGTCGGTGTTTCGTAACACGAGCCCCCACAGATCTGAAACCGAACGATACGTCCCGCCGAAGCGAAGGGAAAAGAAAGGCCTGAAAGCATCACAGAGATCCCCGTGTAAATATTGTAAATAAAAGTATATCGTATATCTTCTCTGCCAAACCCCCTGCTGTCACTTCTTCGCGCGAGTCGTGTCCCATTTTTCTCTCTTTGTACATATACATATATATACATACAATGTATACATGCATATCTCTCTATATATAATATATATATACATTTTTTTTTAGTTCTTTGTTCTGCAAAAGAAGGAGTACGACAAAAAATGTTTTCGCAAATGCTATTCTCCTCTCTGCGAATAATTCCGGCATTGATCGAATTTGTCGCCTGTAAAACAAAACAAAGAAAAAAGAAAAAAGAAAAAAGAAAATGAAACGTGTTTCTGTGTGCATTCATGGTGTTTGACCGTGTCCTATATGGTGTCCTTTGTCTCGTGGTTACGTGTTCCGCCGCCAGCCTCGACGTTGACGCCACCAAAAAAAAAAAAATAAAAAAAGAAAAAGAAAACCGATATGATTTCGTCGAGAACGAATATCGATCGAAGGAACCCGCCGAAGAGCATCGACGGAGATACATTGTATATTCGGTGTTGTGTTCTCTCTCTATAATTTACCTGTCTCTTTCTTTTCTACTCGAACGAAACACTGTACACTCTCCTTTTGTTCTGACGACTTTGCGCACGTCGCGTCTCTCGTTTGCTTTGTCTGAAGCACTTATACTAACAAGCGAGCTTCTTTTTCTTTCTCTCTCTCTCTCTCTCTACCCTTCTTTTCTGTTCTAACGACTCTCTCGTGAATCGCTCTCTCCCCGTGAATCTACGACTCGAGACGCTGCCGCTACGAGCAGCCGTTGGTTTTGCGTTTCCGCTGATGGTCCTCCGACTTTGCTTGACGAACTCACTCTCTCTCTCTCTCTCTCTCCTTTCCTCTCTTTCTCTCTTTCTCTCTCTGTCTGCCTCTCTTTCGCTGATTAACACAAGAAGCTGGCCTAGCCGAAAATGGCGTCAACGTCGAGCACCAGACCAAATCTCAAACGCTAACTTTGTATCCCCGATAATTATGGCACATGAAGCGCCGCATAGCCCGCAACGTAGACGAGAGAGGCTCAACCTGAGAATGAAGAGCTTCAGCTTGGACTCGCCGGAGGGGACCGCGCACGTTCGGCATCGCTCGAGGGATTACTATGCCGGCGGCCAGAGAGAGTCCACGCCGCCAAGGCACTCCGACAGCGGGAGCATCAACAGATTGTGTAAGTAAGCGCGACGCGATTCGGGCGGGGATCGGAAATAAATGTTGCATAAATCTTGCAGCTCCGTGCAGCCCGGGCCAAGGGCACACGGTTCACAAGCCCGTCAGAGGGGCCGTCAGGATGTCGAGCATGGAATTACCGGACGAGAACGAGAAATCCTATTCCTCGGCCAGCACATCGCCGTGCCCGTCGCCGCATACTAACAATCAGAATCACATGAACCCGCCGGGGAAACGTGTCCTGCCACCCAATAACCTCTACGTAGCCCTCTACAACTTCGACGCGCGTCATCGGGACGAATTGGATTTAAAGTAATCATTGAAACAGGACCTCCTCTCTCCATGCTCTGGAAATCCAACCGCGCGGCTCTTGCATCTCCTCGAAAGCCGACGCTCTCTCCGTCGTTCTTTCTTTTTTCTTTTTCTCTTTCCCTCTCTCTCTCTCTCTCTCTCTCTCTCTCTCTCTCTCTCTCTTGCTCCGATGCTGTTACAGAGAGCTCTCCGGCTACCGTTCTCCTATCTCCCCCCCTCCTTTTCTCTTCTTTGGTTCTTAAATTCGATTGTGCATATTGTTTCGTCGCTGCGTCGACGGGTTGTTACACTTCTGCTAATGCCGGCGTTATTCCGATATTTTTGTAGGGCTGGTTATAAAATAACAGTGATCGACAAGTCAGAAAGGGATTGGTGGAAAGGCAAGTGCTTGGGCGGACGAGTCGGTTACTTCCCAAGTGCCTACGTCATGAGAGTGGAGTCTGGCCAGAAGACTCTCCAAGTCACGCGTAATCTACAGCTTACCGATCAGATCACACTATTGCGTGATCAGGTACTGAATCATTTTTACAGACTAGTTAAAAGAACATGAACATCTCTCTCTCTCTCTTTTTTTTTCTCTGATCAGATTCAACCTTATTCTTCATTTTTTATGCATTCCCCACGTTCCATCAGCCTACTTCTCACACGTGCCACCTTGTCTATAGGGTCTATAGGGTCTATTGACCCTATGGTCTAACCTCTATTTTGTCCTTAACATTCCTTGTCCTTAGTTCTACTTGACGTTCGAGTCCTTAACACGTTCTACTTGGCGTTCATTTCTTCGTTTCTCAATTAGTCCTTCTCTTTTTAATTCCTTCGCGGTTGCTCCTTAACCTAAAAATGTACCTCTTGTAATCGTTCGCATTCTCTGAAATAACGATCTTCCGCCGGTCTTTAACACGTTGAACGCCACGTCACTCTTATCTGGGTGACGGCTATGTTTCCGCAGTCTGCGTTCAGTTGAAGCAGGATTTTTATTTATAGTAATTTGATTTGTAACACAACTATGACAAGTATTGACAATACAGGGTAACAATAAAGTATAAAGTAAACAAGAACAAACATTAAAAATATACTTATACTAATAATAAAATAGGATTATAAAATATACTTATATTAACAAATTATACTTATATTTAAATTTGGTTTTAAAGTATTACAACATTTTATTAGTTACGATGGAATTCGTTAAAACGTTGTAAACATAATTGGGGTTACTCTGGACACTCAGGACAATACGTTATAGTCTTTTGTAAATTTTTCGCGCCGGGAGAAGCTCTACCGATTCACGCAGGGTGTTCAACGTGTTAAGAGGGGGGGGGGCGAACTCGTGCGAAGCAATCAAACAAGAGGTGATGCAGTAAATTCTCCTAAATTGTAAGCAAAAATGGACAATTTGTATAGTTGTTGATAAAAACGTACTGCAAAGCTCGAGTAATATAACCTTGACATAACCTAACCCACCCAAACAGACCATTTTACATTGTCTTCCAGGAATCCATGTCGCGTGCCGTTATCACGCGCTTGATCAACTCCATCGACCCTTGGCATCCACGTGGCAATAAATTACATAGGCGTAGAACTAGCGCATGGAAATTCACAGCAACCCGAAATTTGGCATTTCCGGGAGAACTTACTGTAATGCCTCTCGTTCGAACGCTTCGCACAAGACTCCTCCCCCCTTAAATAACCAACTCATCGGATACCCTGATCTATCCTGCGTTGCCTATTCTTCGGGGCGCTTAGAATAGACCTGAAAAAGACTTTTTTTGAGAATAGACCTTAGAAAGACCTTAGAAAAGACTGTTCAAATACCCGCCGTTCTCTTCGAAATTCTTGCCGGTCGGTCACGAAGCATGTAGGATACATATACGATCCGTCGATTCGGGGGCAACTGTTCAACGAATGTTCCATTCGCAGATCGTGATCCAGGTCGGCGAGGAGGTAGATGGCGTAGCCATGGTGCGATGCGCAGCGGACGTCCGTTCGGCGGACCACACGGGAAAGGAGGGCGAGGTGCTGTACAGGGAGACCCTCTGCCCTTTGAAGTACTTGCAAGAGGTGTGACAACAACCTCGCCGATACGTCGCCGAGAAGTACTACGACTGTCTGCAGTGCGCAGAGCAGTGCCACCACGTGACGAACGTAGTCACCAGTAACAACAATAACATCAACAGCAGCAGCAGCAACAACAACAACAACAACAATAACAATAACAACAACAACAATGCAAACAGCACGAACAACAATATGAAGCAGAAGCTCGCGAAAGCGAACAACAACAGCCTGGTCCCGAATAACGGAATGAACAACCACCGTGCGACCAACCACATTACCAGTTCCTCGACGATCAAGGACAACACCAAGATCCTGTCCCGGCTGAACGACACCAGGCTGCAGAAGTACCCGAAGAGCTTCAACCTGTCGAAATCCCTGAAGGACCAGCCGTTGCTATTGACCCCCGCCAAGAAAAGGTCCTCGCTGGATCGCCCGGTCCGCGTTTACGACTCCTTCTCCCAGCCGTCGAAGCTGGTGCCCGTGAACTACGCGGCGTTCCAGGGCCCCCAGAGGAGGGAGATCGGCGAGTCGACGACCTGCGTGAAGAACGTGCAAGAGGAGACCAGCTGGTCGATCAGGCTGAGAAAGAGGAAGAAGTTGATAAGGCTGATGAAGCAGCAGCAGCAGAACAGATCCGTCTACGAGGACACCGACAGGCTGCTGCGCGTATTCAGCGTTAACAATGTGGACCAAGATAATAGGTACAACGTTTCACGGTGTTCTGTCATGTAAAGACTATGTAGAGACGGTCACTGGGAATCGCCTGGCCGATGCTCGTTCGAGGCAGGGCCGAGAATCGGAGCCGGCGAACTCTGGGGTCGCGTCCCGATCCGCTTCGAACGCTTTCCGAAATTGGTCGGCGCGCGAGCAAACCCGCTTCCGCGGAAATATTTACACAAACGGACTGTCCTGAGTCCCCTCGATTATAATGGTAGCCTTGGAACGTACCCGGTTAATCGTGTCTTTCAAAAACGATGTACTTCCGCTGCTAGCCGATCCAGCAACTACGGACGCTGCTTGCTGACGGTCCAGGCTCCGAAACTAGCGGATAAGAGCGCACGGGAACCAAATTGTATTCAATGCTTTTCCAAGATCCTCGGACGACGTTTGAGGCGATTCGGGACGACCGCGGAGTCGGTTCGACTCGAGCGACCACGAAAACGCGCAGAGAACGCGCGGGCTAGGTTTCAATATAGTTGACGGTATATCGGCTGGCGCAGGACTGCGAGGCGAACCTGGAAGAGAATATCGCGCGACTTGTGTTCTCTTTTTATACTTAAGAACATTCGATGCGAAGGGGAGCTTTCTCGCGCCGCAGAAGGATCCTGGGACCTCCGAGAAGATGAAGAGTCGTCGCGTCAACTGAATTGACAGCCCCGCGTCTCGACGACGGTTCTTGCACTTTCCGTGCCGTTGAATTCTCTTCCATGCTGCTCTTCGTGGAATTCCAACATGTCCGAACGCGTCATGGCGGAGAAAGTGCAAAGGAAACTGGCATCGCTCGCTCCGGCACGAATTCGAAGCCCTCGCTATCGAGCATCAATTTAAAAAAAAAGAAACAAATCGAATGGCAGTTTCCCTGTTGAAAGAAACTACAAGAAAAAAAAAGAAACAAAACGCGCGTCCCATTTTGCGGGAAGCGTGCTCCACTAAACAGTAAGGAAGTTCTTCGTTCAATGTGACTCGAGTCTCACTGCTGTCGCTTGTTGTGTTTGACAAAATTCGCCGCTGGGAACAGAGGCGATGGATGTTTGTATCGTTTTTAAGGTTTAGAGAGCTAAACGACCGTGGCTGGAGAGTATTTATGATACGATAACGACGGGGAAAAACGAAACGAAGGGAACGCAATTTTTTGGTATTAAATCGTTGTTGAAAAATGAGCCGGCAAATAATCGGAGTATTTATCTCGGTGTAAGAGAGAATGGATATATTTGATGTTCGCGAGCCCTGCGCGGAACAGGGATTATTCGTCGATGTTCGTCTGTTTATTTTTACTCGCTTGCGCAAAACAACAAAGAACAAAAAAAAGAAACACGCAGCCGTTGTGTTCGGTCTTTCGAAAATCGTTCAGTTGACAGAGCAACGTTGTTTCGTTGTCGTCCATTTTACGTTTGTAAACGATGCGCGAGGAAGACGCGGAGAACTTTGAATTTTCGTCTTTTGAAACTTTTGTTACCATGGCTCGTATGCGGCTAACGATCGTTACTAATAATTAAGAGAACTTAAGGATCAAATAAGAAATCGAAACATAACGCAAGGACAAAACCATTTGATACAAAGATTTCGGATATACGTCGCGCGCGCGCGCGCGTGATCGCCGATGAAATTCAACGTCGTCCCGCGTACAGCGTGCCGCGAGAAGTCCTAGAACCAATATAGAGGTCCTTGTTCCACTCGTTGACCACCGAATCTTCCAAATTTTCATACCACCTCGGCCGAACCCCGTTTCTCATATCGAAGCACGACGTTTCGTTCTCACGACAGTTTAAGGATTTCGAGTTTTCTGTGCCGAATATTTAAGCATCCGGATAGATTTAGATCGATTTTAGAACACACCGATATTCTCGTTTTCTTTTCTTTTCTTTTCTTTTCTTTTCTGTTCTTTTCTTTTCTTTTCTTTTCTTTTCTTTTCTTTTCTTTTCTTTTCTTTTCTTTTCTTTTCTTTTCTTTTCTTTTCTTTTCTTTTCTTTTCTTTTCTTTTCTTTTCTTTTCTTTTCTTTTCTTTTCTTTTCTTTTCTTTTCTTTTCTTTTCTTTTCTTTTCTTTTCTTTTCTTTTCTTTTCTTTTCTTTTCTTTTCTTTTCTTTTCTTTTCTTTTCTTTTCTTTTCTTTTCTTTTCTTTTCTTTTCTTTTCTTTTCTTTTCTTTTCTTTTCTTTTCTTTTCTTTTCTTTTCTTTTCTTTTCTTTTCTTTTCTTTTCTTTTCTTTTCTTTTCTTTTCTTTTCTTTTCTTTTCTTTTCTTTTCTTTTCTTTTCTTTTCTTTTCTTTTCTTTTCTTTTCTTTTCTTTTCTTTTCTTTTCTTTTCTTTTCTTTTCTTTTCTTTTCTTTTCTTTTCTTTTCTTTTCTTTTCTTTTCTTTTCTTTTCTTTTCTTTTCTTTTCTTTTCTTTTCTTTTCTTTTCTTTTCTTTTCTTTTCTTTTCTTTTCTTTTCTTTTCTTTTCTTTTCTTTTCTTTTCTTTTCTTTTCTTTTCTTTTCTTTTCTTTTCTTTTCTTTTCTTTTCTTTTCTTTTCTTTTCTTTTCTTTTCTTTTCTTTTCTTTTCTTTTCTTTTCTTTTCTTTTCTTTTCTTTTCTTTTCTTTTCTTTTCTTTTCTTTTCTTTTCTTTTCTTTTCTTTTCTTTTCTTTTCTTTTCTTTTCTTTTCTTTTCTTTTCTTTTCTTTTCTTTTCTTTTCTTTTCTTTTCTTTTCTTTTCTTTTCTTTTCTTTTCTTTTCTTTTCTTTTCTTTTCTTTTCTTTTCTTTTCTTTTCTTTTCTTCTTTTTTCTTTTCTTTTCTTCTTTTCCTCGTTTCTTTGTCTCCTTTTTTTCTCCCGAAACATTCGAAATGTTTCGTCGAGAAGCATCATCAACGTTTCGTCCGTTTTCTCCTTCGGTCACGTGAGAAAGAGAATACCATTTCTATTGCCGAACCGAATTAAAAGAAATGCAACCAAGGATTCTAACGTTTACACGCTTGCATTTTACACAACTAATTCCGTCCCCGAAGGGTGAACTTAAACAACTCTTATCGAGACCCGCACGATTTTCGCATTTAATTTTCTCAATCGGAAACAAATAAAACACTTCGTCTGCGTTGCTACGTTCGGAGGATGCCAAACCACGGGAGGTTTCTTCGTCGGGAGACCGTTTCGTTTGTACAAAATTAATCGGAAGCTGCGAGGTGACTAGATTTATAAAAAAAAAAGAAAAAAAAACGTTTCAGAGGAAAATTATTCTATATGGAGAAAAATGTTATCGACGGGCCGAGAGTCGAGTCGCCGGAAGCAATGGGGGCGACGTCGAAAATGACGGAAGCATTCTTTGCAAAATTGCCGCGGGAAGTCCAAACATTATTTTTATGCAAAATGAAGCTGTTCGAGATATCCATGTTTTTATTCCAGCTCAAGCGACACACCAATCCGCGTAGCGGCGAGACGCTGAAACTGTTAGCCAAAATTACCAACGGCCGGTCGCAGAAGCCATTTTGCACGCGATGAATTCCATTTGTATTTCGTGCATGCGTCGCGAAAAGATTTCATCCGTTCCGCCTGCGGCGACTCGACCGGTCGGCCCGTCACTATATTTAACGATGCGATATTTTATCTGAAAGTTGACCAATCCCGCGATTTGCATTTACTTGACGTGCATTTACTAAATACGGACCGTTCTTCGAGGACATGTTCTCGACGCTCGAAACGGCGAAAAGATTTACGCGGGGCCTTCTTGGTTCCTTGTTCGCTAGGTCAGCCGCGTGTCCTCAAGAGCCTAAACAGCTGACCTGCACCGTTGAGCCTCAGAAGTATATAAACGTGTTGAAGGTTTTCATTCCAGTGTCCCTCCGCCTCCCGAAACGCGAACGACAACTAAACAGAGAGAAAGAGAGAGATAGAGAGAAAGTGAGAGAGAGAGAGAGAGAGAGAGAGAGAGAGAGAAAGAGATGTGTCTAACAATCAGGTAAACTAGATACGCTAGAGGATACTTCTCTAGGATAGCAAATCCTTTTTCCGTTGGATCGTTGTGAACAGAGAACAGCAACCAGACGTTTCTTCCTAAAGGGCCCACACGCTATCCTAAAAGGAGCATAGATATTCACTCGTATAGAATGAAAGTCACCGCAGAGATATACATATATAGATGTATACATATACATATATGTATACATATATCTCCGTACTTATTTTTTCACTATCCGGCCCCGAAAACGCGCCTGATAAAATATGCTTTCAAGTAACCGTAAATATCTCGTCGAGTGTGTCGTGTTCCTGTTTAGAATCCTTCGATTGTCCTCGAGATATCTGATCATTATCTCTAGCCCGAACTCGTTCGCGAAACTCAGGATATCACAAACGCGACAGAACGAGCCAGCCCGCGCATTTGTCCAGATGAGTTCTCGCTTCCGGGTCGTGGGAGACCGGCGCGGGGGAAGGGGAACGGAGGCATTCAAATTTATACACGCTGTCGAACTTTTCTATCGGTCGCCATGTTTCCACACGGTTTCGTCCCACCTTCGTAACACCTGCTTTTCTTATTATTTTTTTTGGTCGCTCTCCAGAGAATGGCATGCCCCCCTTGTACATACTGTATCCCCTGAAAAGAATTTCATGGATTAATTCCATGGAGTTTTCCAAAAGTTCTCGACGCCTTCGGGACTTCGGATAACCCGTGAAATTATCTCTTTCGTCGCGACACCTTTCGGATATTTCTTGCCGTCGAGGTGCTGGCACTTAATTCGCTTTTTCCGTGCGTTTCTTTTCACGCGGAACAGCCTTAGAGCATATATATATTTATTTATTATATATATATTATATATTTATACTATATATATATATATATATTTATTTATTATATATATTATATATTTATATATATATATATATTTATTTATTATATATATTATATATTTATATTATATATTTATATATAGTATTATATATATATATATATATATATATATATATATATATATTATATTACATTATTTATATATATATTATATATTATATTATTTATATATATATAAATATTATATATATATAAATATATATATTTGTATACCCGACGGCGCATCTGAACACGTGCTGAACATGCGGCAACAATTTTTAGAAAGAGAAATTCTAATCGACCGGTACCTTGTCTCTCTTAACTGGATGCGGACGATTGGCCGATGTTTGTCCCCTCTCATTTCTCTCAGCGCGTACTTCTTGGAGTCCGGGCCCGGGCCCGTGGCCACCGGCCGTTACACTTTTAGAGGTTATACGGTTATATCGTGCGTAGCACTAAACGCTTGGCTTCAGGGCGTCGCGCAGACGGTGTTGCCATTTACAACGTACCGGGTTACGGAGCGAAGCATTTTTTATTCGGATCTCTTTTTACGATTTTTACACGGTGCGCGCGCGTTCTTGGCAAAGAAATAACGGAAAAGAAAATCGTATATAAGCACAGGGTCCTGAGACTTCTTCGTTCGATCCTGGGTTAGAGCGAGACACAGGTTACCAGCCGATTAGGGTCGGGCTACGTGGCAGCGGGTTGTAGCAGATGTTACCGTCGAGTGTAATAATATGCTCTAAGTGAAACGGTTCCGTTTGCCTGCAAGAGGTTCGTTTACCAATACGTTGACACACAGGAAACACATTTACGCCCGTGTTTGTATAATACCGTCGATAGTTCGTAGTTTTGGACTCCCCAGACTTGTGAACGAGTTTGCATGAACAATTCGCCGAGGACCGAGATCAGAGTAGCTTTAGGATTAAGTATCAGGGATAACAATTGTGTTATTGTACGTTGTAACGCTACATAATATTATATTTCATTATATATTAAATACCGTAACGTAATGAGAGTGCCCTACCCCCTGTTAAAGTGTATATCGAATTATTAACTGTACCATAGTGTGTAAGCTATTCCAACTACCATGCCCAGTATTTTCTAAGTATTATGATTATATGCAGCGGGGATGTGTTCGTGTTGTTGTTGTTGTTGTTGTTTGTTGTTGTTGTTGTTGTCGTCGTGGTACTCTTTCTGGTCTGCTGTTTTGCCTGCATGCTGTGCACGCAGCGTCATCGGAGCGTGCGCGGTCGTTAAGTTTACTTTTCTCTTTTTTTTCAATAACAACGTCCACACTTGGATTTCGAAGAGAAAGCTAATTTATTATCGGTTCGTTCGGATAACTTTCGGTTTGAATTCCAGCGACCGGTGCAACGTTTGTTGTTGTCGTCGCGTCGGCGACAGTTCGTTCTTATTTTCTCGCGCGTTGTTCGTCCGGAACGATCGTTTATCTCCGCGCATAAAAAGCAACAGCAGCAGCAGCAGCAGCAGCAACGGCAGCAGCCTTGAAAGAAATAACAGAGGTCAAAGTTTTTAACGTAATACACTATGTTCATCGATCCAATGTGCACGAGTGTGTTTGTTTTAAACGGCGGCTCGCGTTGGAATCGTTCGCGAGTTCGATTTTTCAAGCACCCTATATTTCGACGGGGGATACGTTCGAGGAGAGGAACCGCGTGGCAGACGGAACTGATTGTACAACCGGATTTCAGAAGCGTTTCATTTCTATTGTATGTATAAGAGCGGCTGC